TATAAGACTCCATTGAAGGAAAATGTTTATGTTAGTTAATAAAAGATTATAAGTTTTTAGGGTGTGGAATCGGATGCTAATCATGCAATATCAAAACTGGCTGTGAGAAATGTTAAGGCGAGTAATAAAAGGCTGGCTGGGTAATATCTGAATTCTCAGAGTATTGAGACTTTCAGAATTCAAACCTAGATGTTTGTTAGAGTATGAACAATATTCATTATACATCTTTAATAAATCATGTTTAGATTGCTAAACTGATTTCTAATGCAGTAGTTGCTTGAAAGAAGACATCAGTCAATGCACTGATTGTAATTATCCAGTTAACCAAAAATCAGTGCTTTCAGGAGATTCGTTAAATCCTTGCAGTAAACTTCCATTAAAGTTTTATTTCTTAGGTCCTTAGGTAGCTTCTGAATTTAGCCAAGATATTTTCTGCCTCATATTTGACTACCAGGATTAATATAATTGTATTAAATGTAAAGATGGCTATTACATCAATAAAAATGGTCTCTATAATGAGACTGCTTCAAGGTTTTAAGATATATGCTCTCTATGTAAGTATTAAGTTTATTTATTTTCCTTATAAATTTCCAACAAGCCATCTATATCAAAATTTATAGAAATTTAAGGATAAATATGTCTTGAAGCTGATTCCTATGAAAACTGTTTGATTTGCAAATATGGCTATGGCTTATACCTTGATGAAAAAGGAAACTAAAAATGTCAAAGTATTTCAATAAATTTTTTAAATTTTTAGAATGTGAGTTTGACTTTCAAAATTAGAGTATACTGTCAGTACCATTACGATGCAATTTTATACTAGATAGAAATACATTACTTCCTATTTAAGATTAAATAATTGCATGCGAAGATGGTTATGTTGATAAAATAACGGGCAGATGCACTGCACATTGTGGATTAGGTAGGTATGGAAAAATGTAGTTTGACTCTAGAGGATTAATAGAGGCGTCAAGCTGTGAAACTTGTGATGAAATGTGCTTTGAGTGTGCCTCACAAGGGGAATGCCTATCATGTAAAAAAGGCTTTTACTTGTATACTGGATCATCCTAGAAATCAACTGGAATATGTTTGCAAAAATCAGGATCTTTAGATTTAACTATTTACGTTGATAGTACGAATGACTATTATTCAGAAGAAAATTTGACTGGATATACTATCGATGATGCTTTTTTGTCCTTACAAAGTGCCTTTATCAAAGCTTATGAATATGGTGCTCCATTTGAAAGTGCTGAAATAACAATTTTGCTTATTGCTGGAAAGACTCATTCGATGATCAGATATGATAACAATCATCTTCTTCCCAATGCATATGATCAAAACTCTTAATCAACAAAGATTATTATTGACTCAACTGATGGCTCTTTAGTAACAGTTCTATACAAATTGAGAGATTAATTCAAATTTGTTGTTGGAGCTGGATTAGAAATCAGAAATATTGGTTTCAATGCCTTTGATTCAATTTTCGATTCAAGACAAGGATTTGATCTAATTTTACTTGAAAACTCAGATTATTAATGCTTGAAAGATCATTTTTAAAGTTGCTGTGATAATATTTATGATTAGTCTACCGGATAAACAAATATAATTGGATAAAGCTTTTGCTAGCAACACATCACTATGTAAATTTTAACAGTATATAAATTCTTTAGATAGGTTGACTAATGTCATTTACCGGTTGGATCATCATTAATATAATTTGATATTTCGAGTTAAACACTTTTAAAATCCCCTTAAATTCTGAA